AATCTCTTGATACAGTATTAAAAAGCAATTTCCTCACCCATTAGGATATTCGCTGGCTGGGGAATTCTGGGAGTTGAAGTCCAGACATCTTCAAGTTGCCAAGGTTGAGAAACACTGTCATAGATTGTTGGGTTTTGTAGCTGTTGTCAGTTAAGGGAAAGATTAATTAAAAATAGTACGCTCAAATGAGGTTGGAAAAGTGTGGTTCTTTCATTAAGAAAAATAATGAGGTCCTTTTTTTTTCCAGGATACCGTGGAGCAGCTGGAGTCTGAAAATGCAGATACAACACTCAGTGGTTCTCTATAACTCCAAATAAGATATTGTTATCCAGATGTTTTCTTACTTCTGCTTGAAACTTTGGCAGTCTGGATGAAGGAAATATATATATCGACAAAACCGTATCCATTGCCAATGTATACAATTCCTCTAGAAATGCTTCCTGTCCTTAGCTTCTTCGTGCCTTCATCAGCTGAAATCTCACCATCCACTCTGCCTCGGAGGGAAGGGAAGCGGACCTTCCACGCGATGGGACTTTGGGAACTTCATTTCAACCATGTGGCCATGTATCCAGCTACGCTTGATGAGATGCAGTTATGTCAGAGAGTGAGCCAAAGGGAAGATAGGAAGCTTAAGGTCTCTAGATCAGTGTTTCTCAACCTTGGAGACTTGAAGTCCTGTGGATTTCAACTCCCAGAATCCCCCAGCCAGCAGAGCTGGCTGGGGGATTCTGGGAGTTGAAGTCCACAGGACTTCAAATCTCCAAGGTTGAGAAACACTGATCTAGATGTTCCTGTGGCTTTTCTGCTTCATCAAAACTAACGTGCCTTATCTTTTTCATCCCAATTATTCAAGAAGCAAGAGAGACTGCAGAGCATAAAGGAGGCCAAAGGGAACAATTGCAGTCCCCCTCCCCAAACATTCAAAAGTAGTGTGACTGAGACCCAGAGGCATTGGCCTCGCTACTAAATTCAAACGGCTCCATGCTTCCTTCCGATGATCAAGAAGAAGATGCAAAAGCGATCCAATGGCAGGCACACCCAGGAATGGAAAAGGTCGAATGGGGAAAGGGGCGAAGGAGCGATGGCCGTTCCAGAAAACAGCCCTCCCTTCCTTCTTGCTCTTTTGTGGACCTGCGTCGCCAGGCGGACGACGGTACTTCCGGCAGCTTGAAAACGCGCTGCAGTCAAGCCGCCACCACCTTCTTGGCCCCCTTTCTCGGCGATTCCCACTCAGGGGTGGGAAGAAGAGGCAAGCAGGCTTTTGAGGGAGTTATCCTCACCTGGCAGCAGCTGAGAGAGCCTGCCCATCTGGCAATGGAATGGGATGGAGAACTCCCAATCCTCCCTCCGCTGAGCCATTTGTCAGGGCACAAGAGGTGTTGGCCACGTCAGCGCACACTGGCCAGCTAACTTTAGCCTTTTTTGGAGGCCATTTTTCACCCTCCTCAGGCTCCAGAGGCTTTATATGAGCCTGGAGAGGGCGAAAACAGCCCCCCCTGCCCCCCCAGGCCCTCTGTAGGCTTCAGGAGCTTCCCTGAAGCCTCCAGAGTGCAAAAAAACAGCCCTAAGGCCAAACCGGAAGTTTGGGAAGTGACTTCTGGTTTGCTGATAGGGTTGTTTTTTGTCCCCGGAGGCTTCTGAAGGCTCCGGAGCGCTTAAACCACGCTGGCCAGCGCGCTGGTCAGCTGACAGGGCAACACCTCATGTGCCCTGACAAATAGCGTGCCACCTGTGGCACACGTGCCATAGGTTTGCCATCTCATATATAGGGTCTCCAACTCAAGCAAGAGTTGGACGAGAAGGCCTCCAAAGTTCTTTCCAACTCTGTTATTCTATGATTTATTCATGTTCCATTGCAAAAAGTGCAAAATATTTTAAAGGGGCTAATGAAGGAGTATCTCTCTAAATCAACACCATGGAGAAGAGATAATCCTTTCATTTTCTGTTTTAAGGCTACGGAACCTCTGTATTTAATTCACCTGAACTAATTTTTGAAATCCCTAACCTCGTGTGAAGCAGAAATTATTTTTATTACAATGCAAAATCACAAAACAAGCAGGATTTAAATCGATCTAAAATAAATATGTGACATTGAATTGTAAGATTTTATACAATTGTCAAAATATTTGTACGATAAATGTACCACTACTTATACAATGCAAATGGTAAAAGAAGCATGGAACAAATATATACTATACGTAACAAATACATACCCATTCCTAAGATTATACAATAGCCATTTTTGGTTTAGATCACACACACACAAACACACACATCATTTTAAAAAAAGCCTATAAAGGTAGAGTTGTGCAAGAATGCTTGTTGTGCAAGGATGCTTACACAGCTCTTATTTATTTGAACAAAGTTTGCACAGGAGATTTTCTCCCAGTAAATTGGATCCTTAGCCTAAAATAAATGGTTTGTGAATGGTTCTGTTCAGTCAGATTTAATGAAACTGGACAGTTTTTATGCAAGAGCAATATGTAATTGATATTATTTGCCTAAATATTGAAATCAATATAGGAAGTTAAGCAAGTCCTCTTATTGAAAGAATCAAGCTGATTAGGGGATGAAAATGTATATTCCATTTGCTTTGTAAGCTGAAAAGTTCTCTGCACTTAATTCTTTGTGTATCAGATGCCAAACTTTACTCTCCTCGCTAGAAGTGTAATAAACAAGATCAACAATAGAGGTTTTTGTCATTGCTAATCATTTGAAGTAATAAAGGGCACATCTTATTTTTATATCAATATATACCATAGTAATATACACCAAGAAAATGACTTATCTGTAAATTATTGCAATGCAAATTACATGAGGTTTTTTTTTTAAACAAAAACACAAACAGAAGAATGTTGGAAGTGTAGGAAAAAGGCTGGCAGAAGAACGATTGAGCTGCAAATCACCTGGCTGACCCTGCACAATTGATACTACTTTGTGTAAAAGTTATTAGAAACAAGTTGGGGCTTGTAAGAAGTTGGCTAGTTTTTCTGTGACTGAATACATAAAGGGTATAAGGATTTTTTTTCCTTAACATTCATTATCTGCTGCTGCTTTGAAGCAGAATTTTAAAAGCAACAAGGACGGTTTCAGAAATGCACATGTTTAGAAGAGAATCCAAATATTGTGTTTATATATATATATATAATCTTGATATTTTCTATGTGATATTTTCTATACCTTTAAATGAATGTGATGCCATTTATATACATCATAATAAAAATAGAATAGAGAACTGCCTTTGCTTCTTGATTAAAGCTTACGTGAAGCCTATAGAAACATTGTCATGTGTTTTCTTTCCATCAGAAATAAAACCCATCTTGCGTGACTGGAGAGGGGGGTTGCACGAGCGGCTATTCCGCTCCCGCCCGCATGCCTCCCAGCCTCATGATGCCCTGGCCCAGCTCTCCCTGCAGAGCCAGAGCACCTCCACTGCCACCACCGCCACCATCCCAGCATGGCTTTTTGGGCGGCTTCCAAATCAAGTCTTCCGGCAGTAGCCGCTTTGGGAGTACAGTCAATGGTTGTGGGCCAGCTTCCAGCAGAGCGTAGTCCTAGAGTGTACCCCCCTCTCCAGCCGTGCAAAGTGCCATTCACTGGCATTTCAAAGGTCCCAAGCCACGGGAGCCGGGCGGCAGCGAACAGGCGCTCACGCAGCTTGGCGATACCCCTCAATCAGTGAATGGCGCTGTGCCCGGCTGCAAAGGGAGTTTGCCGGGTGGCTGCTCATGAGCGTGGTCACTTCATGGCTGCTGCGTTGCACTGCTACGACAGCGCAACACAGCCGTTCGCCCCTGAGGCTGTGCTCGGCTCTTTGGAAGCCTGCTCACAAGAGAGCTGCCGCCCGGCAACCCCTCTCCAGCTGGGCACAGCACCGCTCACCAACCTAACGGTATCCCGAAGGTGCCAAGCAACACGAGCGCATTTGCCCCCCCTTCCCACGGCTTGGCACCTTGGGGATACCGCTAGGTTGGTGAGTGGCGCTCTGCCTGGCCGGAGGGGGGGGGTGTTGTCTAGGGTCCTTATTTGCGGGGGAGGGCTTATGTTTTTGCCCACCCAAAAAATGTGATATGGCCTTATTTTCAGGACATGTCATACTTTTGGGAAACATGGTAATGTTCATAGAATTCCTGCACTTTGTCCAGAGTATCGATTTTGAATTCCTTATCTTGCCACGAAATCAGCATCTGGGATAAGCCATCTGAACATCACCTTATATTTAACCAATTGCAAGGATAGGAAGTTCCCTGACCCTCCTTGGGATTTGCTTTAGCTCATACATTCTCTGATGAAGCAAATCTGATATGTGACAGGTAGGCCTTTGCCTGGAGTAAGTCAGAAGTGTGATGTTGTGTTCATTGCTGGTTGATACTATTGCACCTTCATGCGTTTTTTTTATCCTATCTTTTTCATATATAATTCAAAGCGACAAGCATATTCATACTTCTTCCTCCTCTACTTCCCCCACAAGCACCAACCAGTGGGGTGAGGCGCACTGGGCTGAGGGGACGAGTGGCCTAAAGTCATCCAGCCAGTTTTTTATCCCTAAGGCAGAGTTCACTCTCCTAGTTTCTAGGCCAAACCTTAACCACTAAACCAAACTGGCTCTTGGGGAATAGAAACACCAGGAAAACAAGACATTTATTTTTGAATTATGTCTTGTTGTCTCCAACTGCTCATTTATAGTTCTAAGCTTGACACTTGCCTTCCATTCCTTAGGAAAGTGCTAAGCTTTGGATTTTTCTTCATTTTGGAAGATTTTGGTTTCTTGGAGACCATCCAGAATGCCAGTGCAATCATTCTATCTAAACAATTGTTGGAGCCTTGGCTGTGATATCTACATATGGGACTTGGCAACATGAGTCTTCTTGAATTTCAGTTTCACACAAAGAGCATGTTTGTGTATTTGCACAAATCCAAAAGCACCAGCTTCAAATGTATTGAGACAAAACAACGACCAAGTCAACTTCTACTGAAATTCAGAAAAAAGCATGAAACTCTTTCAGCGTATTTAAATATTTATTAAATTCATTCAATATGTGGGGAAATACCCCATAAATTTCAAGACACATGTTTAATATTTAAAAAAATAAAGCTCAATGAATCCATAAAGGTACAATTTACTTGTCAGATGTTTACATATAAAATCAGTTTATCTATCCAATTAAAATAACTTAACCTGGTTTTCCTTTGCCTCAATCAGGAAGGCAGTAGCATCGACACATGGAAGCATGAAAGGAGAACCCTGCCATCCACTGCATTCCAAGTCATTCTTCAACTTTACACCACACACACCAGAGGCAAGTGAACGAAAGCAAAGGCTGGTAATTCTCTTCCCACCCAACTATCCCAACTATCTTCTTCCACGACAGGTTTTTCTGCTTTTAAAAAAAGTTTCAACTTGAAAAAGTCACTGAGATTTAACAAACATCACTGAATTCCAGGGACCAGAACAAGTTTGTTCAGTGTGTGGCTCATGAGTTGTAGGCTGAAAAGATTCTAGTTTCATAAAATGAAAATACAGCTTCACTCTGAGGTTCTGTTCTTCAGCTTGGGAGAGTCATAGAGATGCATGAGAAATATCAGAACAGAGATCTAGACTGCCGTAGGGAAAAAGAATAACATTCCCCACACTAGCACATCACTGATGCTTGTGTAAAAAAATTGCAGATTTTGGAACCCAACAAAATCAAGAAAACCCACTGAATACACCTAGACTGTTTTGAGGGTTCAGCCTCAAATTGGTGAGGCTTTTCACAAGGTCATTTTAATAAGCAATTACTTTGACAGAGGTTAAAACATTAAAGCAGCTGCTTAGCACTCCGAGAGAAGAGTTTCTCACGGGTGGCACCCCTTTCATCAACCTTATGATTTATTTCACTTTAAAACATTTTATCAAACTGACCGTTTCAACAAAAAAAAAGCCTCTATGATGATGCTTAATACAATACCCTAAAAACATTCAGAGTTTATTTAAGGCCCCTAAGTTGTATTTTCTGTTCTTCTCTGAAGATGTAGACACAGAATCTTCTGTAATTATTGATCATTAGAAACTTTGGTTGGTCGTGATTCACTTACATGCAATTCTAATACAGTGATGCAGAATTAAAAGTTTACAGGTTCACAGTGCAACAGCGAAAGGCGCCAGAGCAGAAAACAATCGATTCCCAGCTGCCTCCAGCTGGGAGTCAATTCTGCTATCCCAGAAGAACCTGAGCAACAGAGGACAGTAACAAAAAACATGCAGCGCCATAGCTAGTTATGAAAATGCTGCCAAGCGGTTAAATGTAAAGGAATATACCTCTTCTAAGTTAACTAGATTCATAAATATTGCAGAAGACAGAATTAACTATTCATTTGGTATCGGTTCCTCACGATCAGGTATGCTATTCAGAGCACCAGTATAGGGCAGCAAAAATAATAATCTGTGACTCAAACCATTAGCCTAAGGGAGAAGGTCCAAACCATGTGAAGTAGATCTTGTGTTCTCTTTGAGAAGTACATTTCCACAAACGTCTATGTTGTATACTGTACTGTGTTCACCTTGTCTGGCTTACTTCAAATAGGGGCAAAATTTACATCATTCACACGAACGTGGATACACTAAAAGCAGTTTTTTGTGGAAGGGAACGGAATGAAAACAGACACGGCAACGTGAGGTGGGACAGAAAAAAAAAAGGGCCAATTAATAACCTCAATAATATAAACATATAAATAAATAAGTCATGTTTTTATGAACATATATACAAATAGACAAGGCAACTTTTGTGCAAAGGGTATCTATACCTTGACATGTACCACACACATTATTTACACACTTTATACTGTGCGAAAGAGGTTGGCATCTTTCACAGCTTTAAGACCAAAGTCTAAGGGCTCTCTCCTTGCTTTTAGTGCTTTTCCTTTCAAAGGGAAGGGAATTAGAAGCGTCAGGCCAAGAGCAAAAAATCCTCACTGGTTATTCTAGCCACAATGATTGCTAGATTACTGAAGGGAGACAGGATTCTGTTTCTGAGATGGGATGAGAAAGGCTGTATTAATAGCAGTCCTTCTATATTTATATCCTATATCCTAATTCTACTTCTCCATAAGTATCAATGCCAGTATTTTAAAAGTAGCAAGTGGTCAGAATATTATTGATCATCTCAGAAAATAAGCTTAGTTTTCACCCACTTCAGAGCGTGCGACAGACGCTGCCTTCAACTATAAAAGTGACTCCATCTAGGATAAGTTCTTCCTACTGTACATGAGATTGACTCTGGGCTACACCTTAGTGGGAAAGGGACAATCCTTCGTGCATCTCCCTCCCAGTATAAAAAAAAACACATTTCCTTTAGGAAGGGAAGGAATACAAGTATAAAAAGGTAACACTGAAGAAGAGAGAGATGCAGCATTAAGGCAACAGTACAGAAGTGACTCGAGACGGAATATGAAAAAAATGGCTTCCGATTCCTATTTTTTGGCCAGCACAAGTCCATTGCCCTTTTCTCTTTATCTGCACTAAAGGCACAAGAGGCCCAGCACCAAGCAAAAGCAACAAGCCCATCATCCCCACCGTCAGCCTGTTTGTGTCATTGGTTTGGTTTATTTCCCCGCCCTCTTTCTTTCTGGGCACAGAGGTGACCAGAGAGGCAAGGAGAACAATCAAGTGCAAATATTGTTATACAAGATTACAGGCTACGTAGATCACAGACTGAACCCAAAAAACAAAAAAAAAGTGCATGGTAGATTGGACAGGGAAAGCTGGAAGAAAACCACCAACCCTGAACCAACAACAGGGAGATTCACAACAAATCCAAATACCTTGAGCTTTTTCCTTTGGAGTTAGAAAATAAAAGTCAGTGTTTCCTGTTGGCAACATGGATGATGCGATCCATTTTTAAAACTTCTCTGGTCTAGTTTGGGAAGGAGAGGGGCATCCAGAAGTTAGTGGATTAGGCGACTTTGAATTCTTGCCTCAATTTAGATTTAGGCTCTCAACGTTTCCTCCAAGCTCGCTTCACGTGTAAGAAATTGGGGCATGAAGATCTCTCCACAGGGAGACCTCGCCACAACCAAACTCGCATCCAGAGAAGAATTTCTCTTTGTTGAATCCCTCTTTTTCCAGACTTAGAAATATTCTTACCATGTCAGACTAAGGAGACCCAGGGCATATCGGAGGTACCAGTGTCCTGTTAGCGCTGGGCACGACAATAAATATAGGAAAAAAAACATAACAATGCCATCACTTGCTCGATGTCCTGATAAAATGGCAGCTGACAAACGCCCCTCCTTCTTACAAAAACAAAGGAGAGTGGGGACAATCCATCAAGTCACCCGGGGAGTCGCATGAGATGCCTGGGAGAAAACGGAAGCCAGACCATTCGTGTTCTTCTTTCCAGAAAATAAGCAGCAAAGTCCTGAGAGAGGCACTTGAGGTGTGGAGGCAATTTCATGCTGCGTCATCTTCCAGGCTGACCATCTGTCTCTGAAAGGAAGACGCAGAGTGAAGAAAACGATTGTTGAGGAGTGTTAAGAGGGATGGGCTCAGAAAATCTTGCCATCAAATGTTTATTCAGCAGCTAAGTGAACTTTGACAGCGATGTATTTATATGGCATTTTTTTTCTCCAATGGTATTGGACCTGGGTACTTGAGAGACCGCCTGCTGCCAATTACCTCC